GGGCTTTGCTGTTAAGGAGCAAGTTCCTCCCCGTAATTGTCTTTCTGGTTGCTGTGATCGCAGGCAGATGGATCCGTTCACAGCCACCCAACGTAAACTGGGTTTCGCACAGTGTTTCGGCGCTTGATGAAGCCTAACAGTGGGTGGACGAGGAAGCACCAGTGCTCAAGATGACAGAAAGACCCAGGCAGACGCTAAAACAAGAAAAAGAGAAAAAACGGAAAAAGAGGAAAGATCAAGCCGATGACAGACCAAGGTTTGATGAGCGAGCACCAAGGTTTGATGAGCGAGCACCAAGGCTTGATGAGCGAGCACCAAGGTTTGATGAGCGAGCACCAAGGTTTGATGAGCGAGCACCAAGGTTTGATGAGCGAGCACCAAGGCTTGATGAGCGAGCACCAAGGCTTGATGAGCGAGCACCAAGGCTTGATGAGCGAGCACCAAGGCTTGATGAGCGAGCACCAAGGTTTGATGAGCGAGCACCAAGGCTTGATGAGCGAGCACCAAGGTTGATGGCGAGCACCAAGGTTGATGGTTGATGAGCGAGCCCAAGTTTGAGCCGAACAAGCAGCAAGTGCTTGATGAAGCCGAACAGTGGGTGGAGGAGCAAGCACCAGTGCTTGATGAAGCCGAACAGTGGGTGGAGGAGCAAGTACCTGATGATGCCGAACAGTGGGTGGAGGAGCAAGCACCAGTGCTTGATGAAGCCGAACAGTGGGTGGAGGAGCAAACCGAAAGTGGGTGGAGGAGCAAGCACCTGATGAAGCCGAACAGTGGGTGGAGGAGCAAGCACCAGTGCTTGATGAAGCGAACAGTGGTGAGAGCCCCGAACAGTGGGTGAGGAGCAAGCACCAGTGCTTGATGAAGCCGAACAGTGGGTGGAGGAGCAAGCACCAGTGCTTGAGAAGCCGAACAGTGGGTGAGAGGAGATGCCGAACAGTGGTGGAGGAGCAAGCACCAGTGCTTGATGAAGCCGAACAGTGGGTGGAGGAGCAAGCACCTGCGAACAGTGGGTGAGGAGCAAGCACCAGTGCTTGATGAAGCCGAACAGTGCTTGATGATGCCGAACAGTGGGTGGAGGAGCAAGCACCAGTGCTTGATGAAGCCGAACAGTGGGTGGAGGAGCAAGCACCAGTGCTTGATGAAGCCGAACAGTGGGTGGAGGAGCAAGTACCTGATGATGCCGAACAGTGGGTGGAGGAGCAAGCACCAGTGCTTGATGAAGCCGAACAGGTACTGATGATGCTGGAGGAGCACCAGTGCTTGATGAAGCCGAACAGTGGGTGCAGTGCTTGATGAAGCCGAACAGTGGGTGGAGGAGCAAGCACCAGTGCTTGATGAAGCCGAACAGTGGGTGGAGGAGCAAGCACCAGTGCTTGATGAAGCCGAACAGTGGGTGGAGGAGCAAGCACCAGTGCTTGATGAAGCGAACAGTGGGTGGAGGAGCAAGCACCAGTGCTTGATGAAGCCGAACAGTGGGTGGAGGAGCAAGTGACGCATGCTTGATGAAGCCGAACAGTGGGTGGAGGAGCAGCACCAGTGCTTGATGAAGCCGAACAGTGGGTGGAGGAGCAAGCACCAGTGCTTGATGAAGCGAACAGTGGGTGGAGGAGCAAGCACCAACAGTGGAGAGGTGCTTGATGAAGCCGAACAGTGGGTGGAGGAGCAAGCACCAGTGCTTGATGAAGCCGAACAGTGGGTGGAGGAGCAAGCCCCGAACAGTGGGTGGAGGAGCAAGCACCAGTGCTTGATGAAGCCGAACAGTGGGTGGAGGAGCAAGCACCAGTGCTTGAATGAAATCTGAAGCAAGCAAGTGTTGTAAATCTGTAATCTGATTTGATTTACAATATGCTTGTTGAGCTTTCTAAGAAGCTGGTCCAGCTTTCTAAGAAGCTGGACCAACTTTTAGAGTTATCTAATTAGCTTGGAAACGTAAATACCCTGGAGTGGATATGATTGACACACACAATAGCATCAGTGCTTGATGAAGCCGAACTTTGCCGATGAGCAAGCTTGATGAATCCGAACAGTGGATTTGATTTACAATATGCTTGTTGAGCAAACAAGCTGGACATACTTTTTGAGATATCTAAATAGCTTGATAAGCTAATAAATAATGCAGAGGATAATAATAAAGATAATGATATTGAAAATATTATATTAATATATATTATATATATATATATAATAATATATAATATATAATATATATATATATATATATATATATATATATATATATATATATTATATAGGTATTCTCGTGTCTAGGTTTTAGGACGTAAAAAGGTAAATTTTCGATGAGCAAGCATTAGTGCTTGGTGAAGCCGTTTTTTTCATCCCCTTGATTTTATAAAATGCCCGATTTCTGAACAATTTGTGTATGAATGTGTTGTGTGATGACAGCAATAATAGTGTGGTGGGTGTATGAAGGTGGCAATAATAACGTGTGTGATGGGTATGATATCAATAGCATGTGCGCGTGTGGTGTGTTTGTGAT